AGGAGGAGGAGGAGTGGTAGTAGTAGTAGTAGTAGTAGTAGTCGTCGTAGTCGTAGTCGTAGTCGTAGTCGTAGTCGTAGTCGTAGTCGTAGTCGTAGTCGTAGTCGTAGTCGTAGTCGTAGTCGTAGTCGTGGTGATAGTAATAGTAGCAGCAGCAGCAGCGGTGGCAGCGCTATAATGCCAGCAGTTACAGTGCTATCGAGTCATGTTAACGTTATCGTGGTGCCAACAGTGCTGATGGTGCAGACGTGGTGGTAGCGAAAGTAAACGAGCACTGGCAGCAGAGGAATGGAAGGTAGGACAAGTAGGAGCATTTGCTGTAACAACATTCGTGTCTTCATCATAACAAGCATCTGTTTCGGTCAGTACCAATGGAATGAGCTACGCAAGCTGAGTGTGCAACTCCAGATCTGTAAGGCGCGAATTCAGAAAAATGGTCCGTGACTTGCCTGCAGGAAGCTACGCGCAACTGAATTAGTGGAAAGCATGCCATGTTGTTTGCACAAGCACATACTGGAGCCCTCCATGTGAATTTGTCGCACCACAGTTTCAAGACAAAGCTGTTCTGCTCAACTCAGGAATGCTGCAGGCCTTTTGGGCCATGAGAGAAGTGAGTCCTCATGGAAGTGCGAAGTGTCTATGAACTTCCACTCACATGTACACACTCCCCAACCTCCACTGCCAGGAGCGTGACATCCAGCGCTACAAGAAGGCACTCGAAATTATGTTGAAATCATCATGGTTCATGACGAACCCAACAAGCCTGTCACGATGCACTTCACGTGAAGTGAGGCATGTGGTGTATGATCACAAAGCCACTAATTAAGCAAAGTGCAGCGTGCCATTTGTAACAGAACCAAAAAGTATTGCATCCGCATGTGCGAAGAACCGAGTATGTAGGAACATGCGGTATGCGTGGTGCCAGGCGTTTCATGCGGCTGCGGGGGAAAGCAAGGCACACCGTGCAATGGACGGACAGGTTGTGCACTGAGTTCCTCTCTTCACAGCTTCTGTCGTGATCCCCTTATGCGAGCCCTACGCATGAAGAGTGGTCCCCTGCCCTTCTGACTGGCGTGCAGGCAGCATTCCTGGACGAGCGCCGGGGAGTTGAGGCCATCGCAGGAAGCCCCCAAAACTGCGCTGGCTACAGATGCTCGAAAGCCTGAGCAGCTGCAGAGCAATGCTGGCAGGGCTCCTGCATGCAAGCGAGCCAATGTCGCCTTTTTCTGCTGCATGCAGGCAGTGCGCGAGCTGGGTTTCCGTGTGAAGAAGCAGGCACAATCAGACATCCATCAATCGACCAGCCGCATGACTTCCTCAATCTCCGGGACTTGTGAGACCCTCGTCTGTATGCGCTTCTTCACCCTGTTGCTGTTGCGCAGTACGTGGCCTTGGCCGCCAGAGTGACCGCCAAGACCTACCACATGGCGGGAAGGGTTTTCAGTCAACATTCTGTGTTTGCTTGATGTCCAGGCTGCCCCGGAGATGTCAACACAGCATGGATGCTTGAAACTTGAAACATGATTCTGCGCCCCTCAAAGTCAGGGGCATAGGCATGGAAACTCGCACAGATGTTGAACAACGAGACAGAGGTGGCATGAAGGATTCACCTTGTCTGCTGTGAAAGCGTGCAGTGCAGACTCGACTTGGATGGTTCGGCACGGCCTACCTACGTACATTTATACATGCATACATAGCTCGATAGCTGGATATGTACATACACACATGGACCCATGCCCACATACAAAGATACGTGATATGTACGTACATGCGTCCTCATTGGTTTTGCATGAGCTTCCTCTTGTGCCAGTGCTGGAAACGCATAGAGACGGCAGGAGCACGCCGCCGGTGCCGACTGTAGAAACGCTACACAACACCTGCACACGACCCCCTTCTGAAGCAGACTGTCTGCGGTGAGAAAGTTTTTGGAACCGAGACCGGAGCGAGAAGGCGAGAGGTCTGAGGTTGGGATGCGAGTTTGTTCATGCAGGCAGATCCATTCCTGGACGAGGCAAGCTTCGTCCGCGCTGTCGGCATGTTTGAGGTTTTCCAGGGCTGATGTTTTTCGGGTTTCTTCCATTGCATACAAGACCACTCTCTGGCCGTGTGGAGGCGTCAAGCTGTAATGCCGATTTCGAGCTGTAGACGCAGACTCTTGCTTGTGCCAGGCGTGTGCTGCCGACATGCCAGAGACTTGCGACAAGCGATTCGGCAGCAACTGCAGATTGAGTTCACAGATTTGGAAGCGGCACTGCACCGCAGAAGTTACTGTACGGGGTGTGCTAGGGTCACCGTCCAGCGATATTTTTTCACGCCAGCTCGCAATGAGTGGCTGCAGCTGCCAGTGCATCATGTCAGCGTAGAGACCTCGCAGAGATTCAATCGCAGACTCGTTTTGTAGTTTTCCCGCCACTCAAGTCGACAGTACAGTAGGTTGATGACCAGTCGGCCGTGCTGCAGCACGGCCGACACTTGATACCCATGGTCCCACCGCAACAACGCAAGCCGCCCCAACGGCCCCGAGGTGTACAAGTCGAACGGCGGCTGGACCGAGGGTGAGGCGCCAGGGTACAGAGCCGGATATTTCGGACCGGGTTGGAGACGGAGTGGGGCAAGTTGCGGCAACATTCGCTATGCTAGCCGTTGATGATGAGGGAGACAAGTGGCCGGCAGAAGAACTGACATGTAACCACACATACAGTTGCTTCGCATTCCACTTGTCATACGTAATAGATGTGGAGGTTTGTCGGAAAGCACTCTTACTCTCTCGTTCTCTCTCACTCAGAATGCGCCTGTCCGCTTCCGCACTGGGCACAGTACATGAAGGTGATGCAGCTGGAGAAAGTCTTCAACAAGTACGACGTGAAGAGGAAGGGCTTTCTTTCGAGCAAAGAGCCCTGGCCTCGGAGTGCAGCTCCTTCAAGGACTTCCTGGATGCAGTTGAGGCTCATGCCGTTGAGGGATTCGCAAAGACACGGCAAGGTCTAAGACTTCGCGATACAGCACCGCAATAGATAAGCTGATAGAATGACGGACCAGACTGATTTAATGCAGGGAAACAAGGGCGGTCAAAGCCTAAGTTTTGAAGGTCTGAAAGATTCTAAGAAACTGTAGCATCGAATCGAGATTGCTGGTCGAAGTTCGTGTGCTTCCTGAAGTGGGGTACACTGAATTAGAAAATTGCTAGCAAGGGGCAGCATCACAGCATCTCAGAAGCAGACGTGCTCGCAAGGTTAGTCCGGATGGTGGAGGACATGTTTCCGGTTCTCGCGCGGGACAGGAGCTGCATGGAGTACTTCTTCTCGTCCAGGCATGCATGATTGATAATCTTGACCATCGAAGGAGGCTTCGACCCGATCTGCAGCGAATCATGAAACAGGCACATTTTGTGGTGCGTGATTTGCACAATTTTGAGAAGAGCTTTAAGCGCGACTCGTCTGAAATCGACTCGTCTAGCTTCTGCTCTTCAGAGGCGCTCAGTGGTTGCACACGTGCGGAAGGTGGGAGTGACCCCGCTTTTGCTGCTTTGAGGAATGGGGCTTAGGGTGTTGGGTTTATACAGGGTTTAGGGTTTAGGGTTTATACAGGGTTTAGAGTTTTGGGAGGTTGAAAGGAATGCCCACGTGTATACTGATGAGACCAGACTTCATGGGTTCATGGTGGTTGCCTGAAGCAGTTTTGCACTTGCTGGGTTGCAGTAGTTGTAGACAGACGTAGCTTGAAGTGGAATTCAATTGCCGCAAAGGAAAGTTGCTCAGGGTCACGCCTGGACTCCCGGATAAAACGGCTTGTAGCTAGCGCCAGGAAAGTTAGGACATGTTAGGACATGCTGGCTTTTTCACTGCAGTTCCAGCTCTTCGCGATCCCTCCCGATTCCTTGCTGATCCTGCTCCGGTTCCGTGGCAAGGTGTGGGAATGCAGGATTTCCTGAAGCTGATGCAGTTCTTCCGAGAGTTTCAGGACATCCGACAAGACTGTGTTGACAATGCAACGTGGCGCGTATGGGTACGACGCGATGAGCAGCCCCATGATTCGTTCGCACGGGCTTCGTGCAAGGACGGACAGCGCTTGCACAAGGAGCAGCAAGCAGTCCAGGTGCTTGTCCCAGCACTCTACAGTAAGTTAGCGAGAGATGGTCCGGACCCCCTTTTCGGAAGGCAAGTGGCTGGGAACATACCGAGGTCGCTCAGCCGGAAGCTCGGTACAGCCTTCCACGCAAAGTCATTGCATCTTCCAGTCTTATCCGCACCTATCTCCACATGGAGTGGGAAGATCAACAATGTAACCTTACAAAGAAGTACGTGTTTCAGGCACGTTTCAGGTGTCTGGAAAGGTTCTAGATGCCAAAATGAATGCTAGGAGCTAATTCATTACGTCTAGCTGATTCAGGTTGCGTGACCTCTTCATCGCGGCGTCCAACGCTTCGCACGAAAGCTCGCTTCCCGCCGAGCTTTCCTTCGAACAGGCCAGCAGCGCATGCAACCTCCTCATGCATGGGTGGCTTCTCAGATGTTCCTTGCTTTCGTGCAGTTTCGGACCATGATCCACGACCTCTACCCACTTGGGGATGCGCTGACGGCAGAGTTGAAATACATCTTTGCGAAGGCGGCAGATTCCTGCAGCTGCTAGGTCCTAGGTGCTAGGGGTCCGATTGTCTCGTGGCAGAGCAAGGGAAGCCCTGGATTTGTCCACTCCTCTCGAATCTTGAGGGCGAGGTGTGTCGAGAAAAAGATTGCGCTGAGAAGCTGGGACGGGCAGAGAACGGGTTAACCGCAGGGCCAACCGAAGCCGTGACCCCTTCGTTGAAAAGCTTGAAAAGCGGCACTAGCGGTGGTACCACGCAGTTAGAAGAATGAACAGCTGCAAGAACTCAGCTCCTCGCAGTTCACTCGACGGATCGTCGGCGAAGTGAGGAGCAAGCAGAGCTTCGAGGCCTTGCAGTGATCGTTTTGTCCAAGTTTCGTCTGTCCCACGGTTCGCGGCCGAGGATGCGGACTTCCCGGAGTTCCTGCTGATGATGAGGTACTTGTGGGACACCGACTGGCCCAGCAGTCCAGGAACATCAAGGATTGGCATCAAGGCCTGAAGATGTCGTGGAAGCCGAGCAGCAAGAAGGGGCTCCCGCTTGCCCGAACCAGCAAGTTTCGCCAGGCGAAGTTTCAAGACAAGGCCGATACGGACAAGCCAGTCAAGGCACCGCCGGTCAAGGCGGCGTCTACCGTTGGAGGTGCCGGGCCTCTCAACGGGCCCAAGGCTCAGGGGCCTTCTTAAAGTCTTACAGTTCTGGAGGGCGGCTTCCGGGTTTACCAGTATGCATGTTTGCAGGTAGTTAGTATACTTTCCAAGAGCAAAGTTGCTTGGACTGTATGTACAAAGGGCCAGCTGGTCTCTTCACCAAGTGATAGGGCCTCATGGCAACGTGCAGACGCGGTGTCGTGCAAACCGACGCGCCAGCACACCAGCCTGTTTTCAAGGCCACAGGTCTTGACGTGAGTAGGCGGATCACTGTCTCTGCAATCGCAGACCAAGGAGCATGGTTAGCAAGCCAGCAGTGTGAGAAATGTCGCAAAGGTGCTTGAAGCTTGGGCACGTATACTGCAGTTGTTTGAGGTTTTGGCTGGCTTTGAGAGTATGTTGGAGACATGTGCGGAGCCAGACGCTAACTGATGACGATCACTACACGTATGTACAACTATGTACACATACATGTAGACATAACTATGCAAATATCTGACCTGGTAAGTTAAAATACAAGTAGTACAACTAGGTTGAAAGCTTCAACGTGCCTGCATTGATTTGCATGTAGTGAGATATAGATATGACAGAGTAGACACATCTTGCCCGTCCATTCGTCGTTCCGCAGCCTTGGCTCCTCGCCTAGATTCGTGAGCTAAGTCGAGGCCACACCCTCTTCGGAGGCTTCTTGGAGGAAAGATAAACTCTGCACGGTGCTTTTTTGCGTGAGGGTCGCAGCGGATGAAGTAACAGGTGCCTTGAGACCACAATGTAGAACAGCCTTAAACAGAACCAACAAGAGATGCTATAAGTAGGGCAGAAACAGGGTATACTGAGGCATTCGAAGCTCTGGAACATAGAGCACGAGGAATGGAACATGCTGGGACATGCTCAGACTGGGAGACATTGGAACTTTGATTTGCGCAAACAGGCGCCGAAAATGATGCTCATTGGTTAGGGGCTACTTACTTGGCATACGTCCCAGACCGGAAGACGAGGCCCAGGAAAGCTGTGTGACGTATGCCGCGATTTCTGCGAGGCAAAATGTGCATCTCAAAAGAAACGATATGCATCGAACCGCAACAGGAATGGCTCTGCCTAAGCATTCTGAACAATTGCAACAAATCTGGTTGCAGTCGTCTCTGGTATGCAAACAAACAGCCATTCTCGGCAATTTTTCGACAGATTGCTAATTTAAACTGAGGTAGAAAGAGAGAGATACATATATATATATATATATATCTTTTTCTCACAACCGAATTAGAGAAAAGGGGCGCCTAGTCGCGGGTCTAGTTCGCTCGACCTTTCCTTGCTGAAGGAAGGAGGATATAAATAGATAAAAAATGATAAAAATAAATAACTAAATAAATAGATAATATATATATATATATCTATACCTATATTTATAATAGAGACATGTACGATGCTATGTTGCCATCCCTCTCGCATCCAATGCATGCATGATTCCTCCTCGATGCGTACGTGTCGCCCTTCTCATTAAGTGCATAAGCAGGTAGGCAGATCCATGCAAGAAAGAACATGCAAGAGAATGCACAATGCGATATCTGCAGGCAAAGGCATGCAGAATTAGATGTTTTTTTGGTCTCTGCGACAAGTACCCATGTGCCAGACAGATCCATAAGGACACTCGCATGTACGGACTCACGTCCATCTATGCACAATTTCGCATGTTCAGATTCCCACATACATGCACTAAGAAGTACTTCGACACCGATGCATGCATATATGCGTGTACGTTTTCATTTGCTGTGCCTATGCCCTTGCCTTGGCATATACCTACACAATTTGAATACATACTAAATATATAGACACATACATACAAATATACATTTATGTATATTTGCATACATATGCATAGACTCATACATATACATATACATTAGCATGCGCCTTTGCATATATAGCACGCACGCACATATGCATCTGCATGTCCATATATACGCATTGGCAAAAATAGTTTACACACACACACGCACACACGTTTGCATACGCTCACGTCGCCATACATACATTTATGTCTGCGTACACGTATATGCCTGTACGTATACATTTGTGTATGTATTTCTGTTTGCATGCATGTATATCTGGTGCACTCTTTATCCGTGAGGTCCCATGCTCCGGCGAGTGCTGGGGTGGTCGTCGCCGAGGGCTTGGCTTCTGCCGCATACACCTCCTGCTGGTTTCGAAGCAGGGCATCTAATTCAGTCACGCGCGAGATGGTGGCTGGGGTGATTTGTGTTGGGCTAGCCCTCTCCGATGCATCGTATGGCCTGCATTTTTTAAACAGATTCACGTTGGGATCTAAACCACAGCTCAGTTCACAGCTCGTCCGATGGATGGGCTGGAACTCGCTAGGAGATTATCAAGACAGGCAAGCATCCTTGTATGGCCGATGTGCGACGGAGGCTCTTCCTTCTCCTCTCCGGATGTGACTGCACGCGACCCCATAAGGCACCGTGCTCAGATTACGCTTTGTAAGCCGTCTGCTACCGGTGAGATCACCGCAAGCACGTCAGCATTCTGCGATCTCTGCCCCGAGCTCTCAGGCGCTGCACAAGAAGGGCGTGGATGAAGACTTCAAGTCGGCTTCTCACAGGTAAGACTTTGGGGTCTGTAGATTTGTCAAGGGAACACGGAACCGCTACACGAGGAGATGTGAGATCGAGCACTTCGGTGCTCGCGAAGTTGATGAATCGCTTGGGGTGTGTTTGGGCGCTCATTCGGCTTCAAATCGCTCGAAGTCCAACAGTCTTCAACGCCCTAGCAGGGCGTGGTCTCGAAAGCCCGACGCTTTACACGGTAGTATTGGGGTTTTCCAAAGTTGGCAATCGTGCTCCCGCCATGCGAGTTTTGGGGTCTCATCGTCTTCCGACCAGAGTGTTTCGCGTTTCCGCCTTCCGAAATCGCGCTCCATTCTCAGTCCCGTGTGTAGTTTAGCTGTGACTCCCGTGTCTTTCTCTAAGAGTTGTCTTCCCCCCTTTGGTCCCGAGCATGTTTTGGCTTAGGCTTTTTACTCGTCCACAACCCGTGAAAACCAGCGACCCCCTACGAAAAATGGCAGACGAAGCGGTTTGACAAGCCAACGAAAAGCATCAAGATGAGCCGTTACCCGGAGCCACAAAGCTCTTGGTGAGAGATTGCTCAGAGTAGTAATACACAGATAATATCAGATAATGGGGTTCGATGCGTTGATGTAATGACAGTTGCTGGACAAGATTGCGAGCAGCTTCAAAGGTGCACGGCTTGGTTGATGCAGAGGGAACTTTCCGATCAATGAAGACTACAATATTTGTAATCATTGACATTTTCTGCCACTCGCAGATGTCTATGCGTACTGAACTGTATGGAACTAATGCTATAATTTGTCCCAGGTGTTCTGTTACCATCGCAATGTCTGGCTACAGAGTGCGAACGTGCAAGATGAGTCCCTCTTCTGTCCTTACGCGCGCCCAGGTCCTTAAAGGCTGGTCTGGACGAGGACCTGCAAAAGCTGTGCCGAACTGGGGCTATCGTAATTAGGATCTTAGGACCCTGTCCCTGAACCAAACCCCGGCCGCTTTTCCAGTACGCGGGCTTGTTGGAGTCGGCGAAGACTGCAGAGAAGAGCGCAGAGGCCGCCTGAGCACATGGCCATCTTCCTTCTCGGTTTTGATTGTTTAGCCTCAACAGATTCCTGCTCGCATGTCTTTAGTTGCCACTGCCAACAGGATGCGGCCACCGAGTTTGCAGTTGAGAATCCCAAGGAGCTGAGAGAAGGCCTGCTTGAGCAGCATTCGGCTTCCAGCGCTGCAGGACTTCGCGCAGTTCAAGGAGTCTGTTGCTGCCTCGGAAGTCCCTGTTAGGGTGAAAAGCAAGGCTTCAGTGCGAGATAGGCTGGACACTGGCATCGTGAGCCTGAAGTGATGAGAGGTGCAAAATGCGGCAGAACAGTCCGCCAACTTGCTAGAGACGGCGAACACGCAAGTGCTGAAGGAGGCACAGCGCAGCATCCACGCATCAGAAGCCATTGTCTTTTTGCGTCGTTTGGAACGATTCCTGCTGCATGTTGCTTTCAACAGGATCAAGAGATTCCCGAGAAAGCGCTGGAAGACGCGGAGGCACAAGCAAAAGCTGAAGACGACGCCTGAGCAAGTTGTAGTCGCGACCAACTGCAGTCGCACCTCATGCGAATCATGCAAAAGGCGTGATGTGGGCGAGAGAAGATACCTGTTTCGAAGGTTCGCATCCATTGATCGAAACTAGCACAAGAGTCATGAAAAGACGACGAGGTTTCCACATAACTTGTTAAACAGCAATATGCTGTGCTACATTTTTTTCCGAGATGGTTGCTACATGTAAGCGGGCAGTTGGCAGTAGGGATTGTAATTTGTTCAACTGCGGTGATGCTGTTGACGTTCTTGTTTCGTTTGCTGACACTGTTGCCAGTCTTAGTGCACAACGACAAGTATTCACATCTGCGCTCAGGGCTTCGCATATGACTTCTCCAATTGCCGTTGCAGCTGGTTTCTACGACTGTTGCTGTTGTGAGCATGCTGTTGAGTTCTATGTTCATTCCTGTTTGCGAAAATTCCTGTTCCGCCTCATTCACAGTCAGTAATGTTCGTTCAAAACAGCATGCAGCATAACCACTTGGATTTCGTTGATTAAAAAGCGAACAACACACAACACTTGCGATGATGATGATCATCATCATCGTCATCATCACCATCATCATCGTAATAGCGTTTTGCATTCTTCTTGATACCTTTCGGCTCACCCATCAGCAGAATACCGAGCACAGTCATGGCAAACAGCCACGACTCGAATAGTTTGGGCTTCGTCCACAGCGCCAGAATTCTGTTGAACTGATGGGCCTGTAGTTCATGATCAGCTTGCACAGCAGCCCTTGATTGCCCTGCTTGTGAACCATACCCATCTAAGTGATACTGAGTCGAGTCACTTTCGCGGCCAACCCAGGCCTCTGTAGACTCTATAGTCCTGAAATCTTTCCAGCCCACTCGATTTTCCAGCTGTGGCGCTTGAACCCGATACTCCAGCATGGAGGGCTGACACTTCTCTCAGGGAGGAGAGCCCACGCCATGCGAAGTCGCAACTCAGCTCACTTTCAGAGGAACTCTGTCCAGGCTTCTACATACTCATATACTCATACAACCTTTGTATAGGGATGTAACATGATGTAACATTGGAACAATTGGGACACCTGGGGTTAGGCTTTAGGGTTTAGGGTTTAGGGGTGTGGGGGTTTAGGGGGGTTTAGGGTTTAGGGTTTAGGGATTATAGGATCGTAGGGGTCGGCGCGCTTCCTGTGGCCGAGGCCATGCTTGGCCGGAAGAGAGAAGACCAGAAGGCCGGTTTAGTCGAAGCCGAAGTTCTACTAGATACTACATACTCTAAGCTATACTATATAGGTTACGATATACCATGCTATATACTATATATTGTACTATATACCATACTATATACTATTCTATATACCATTCTGTAAACGAGACACTTCATTCTATTTATATTGTAGCCCGATATCACAAGAGATATGTAAGTACGGGGCTTGCCCCTTCTTTCATCCTTGTGGAACGAGAGATACGCAAGTGTGTATACAAACAGGTTGATCTATAGTTACAAGTGTAAAAGCTCTTCTAAAAAATCAACGGATAGCCGCATACAGGTACACACCTACATATCAACACAGCAAGGATACATATATGCATGACATGCATGTAAAGATAGAGGCACTCCGGGGTATGTGTATACACATATATCATATATGCACGTAGGTATGTTGTTGTACGTATATGTACAATACATGAACACATGTTATATATTTACACAAACACATACTCATACGGAAAGGATCTTTACGTGTGTGACATGTTTGCACGGCTACACTGCGTCTGGAGTAGCTGCAGCTCTGCAGCGTGGCTTCTAAAATGTTCTCCACGTCTTCCGACGCAGAAGTGACTTGAATAGATGGGTGTCAGCTCTATTGTGATCTCAGCCACGCGTAGTAGTTGTTGTGCTGCCTGGCCGTATAGCAGGCAGCCGGATAGAAAGGAGCCGCTGCTAAGGCGACAAAGCCTTAGCTCAGCAAGTTTCTTCTTCTGCACCATGATCTACAGGCATCTACAGCCGTATGACCCTTCTTGCTTCTGCCACCTTTTCTCCCCTTACAGTCATTCGTGAGACTCTTGCCTTGCTGGTCCAATGTCAACTTCGCACGCTACGACGGTTTTGCCGTAGCCCCAACATCGCAAAATTATGCAATCGTAGGCCTTGGACCATGACCGAGAGCCCGGTCTGAGCAGGATGGACCCGGTGGCAAGAAAAGGAAGAAGTGGCAGGACCTGCTTCGCCTTGCTACTCTTTCCGGCAATTTCATTGTAAAATTCCGTTATCGTCATGCTACTGATCGCCATGACCCGCTTCATCAGCATCAGCAGAATCGCCAGCACCATGACCGTCGACATTCTCTATATCGGATCTTCACCTTCAGTGTCATCTGTGCCTCCGTCCTGATGCCATTGCCACGATTCTCATCGTCACCATCGCCATCATCATCCCATGAGCATCCACACGATACAGTACTCATCGCCCACATCATGAGTGCTGTCAGCATTCTCGCACATGATCGTTGTCACACTATCACCATGAATTTATATCGCCGTCATCACCTCCGTCGTCGTCATCGCAGTTTGATCACCAAGGTCACCGAAATGATATAATCGTTGTCGTCGTCCTCGACGTCGTCGGCTTCCATCACCAAGATGAAAGCTTGACTTGGTATTGGCGGTTCTTCTGCTGCTGCTGCTCTTGCTGCTGCCGTTGGTTGTCGTGGCTGTCGTCGTCGTCGTCTTTGTCGTCGTCCTGGCGTGAACGTACCCGAGATCTTCAGGAGGAGTCAGATGACGAGGAGGAGTCGGAAGCGAAGAATGTGACCGTGGAGGAGATGGAGGAGTGGAAGGCGTTCGCACTGCACTGGAAGTCCTCTCCTCGTTGCATAATTGACTCACTGCTTCGCGCACAGCTTTTGAGCATTGTGTGGCCATCCCGGTCAAGGTTTTTGTCCGGAAGTTGAATCCTATTATGTCCGACAAATCATCTTGCACGACTAGAAAACTGTGCCAGGCAAAGATGGAAGAGGAAGAGTCCAGCTGACTCTTTTTACGCCAGCCTCAATGGTGCCAGTGCATCCTGCCACTCGCACAAGCTTCAGCTTCTCAGGCTCGACCAAGCCGTGGTAGACTCCTGGTTACCTGTAGATGTAGGGCCCACGTTCCCGCTTGATGTATCATCCGCTGTGGCAGAGCTTGAAGTTGCAGCTGCTTTTGAGCTCCAGATTCCTTGGCCTCAGCTTCTGCTTGGAAGAAGAGAAGGCGGCGCCGGGCATGGGCCTTCAAAAAGTGGTCGCAGGCGGTCAGACAGGCGTGGACCAGGCTGCCCTCACTGCTGCGCGAGATTTGGGGCTGGCTACAGGACCGGCATGGAACGAGACACAGGAATTTCAGCCAGTGTGATCTTGCAGATCGACTTCCCCTGCCGACGGCTTCAGCACATGCTAAGTTAGAAGGGAGCCGTCCTTGGAAGCCTTCGCGAAAATTCCTGCAGATTGACCCGGCAGGAGGCTTCTGCCCAGAAGATAGCTCCGACGAGAATGGGCCCATCCCAGACTTGGCAGAGCCGAGGGCGTGCAGTTGGCAAGGGGTCTTTGAAGTTCGTTGCTCTCTTTTACTTGGGTTCGTTACGGACGTCCCTATCCCTGCAGCTCAGCCAAGGAGTGGCATCTTACACCGCTGACGCCGGCTGTGTGGAAGGCTCACGAAGGCTTGCTGTGAGCTTTCGAGTATCTTTCATCAATGTCCAGTATAGTTCAGACACATCACAGAGAAGAAAGCGCTACTGTGATCCATGAGAGACCCACGTCTTGGACCTCTAGGCCTCTTCGAAGAGCTGGGCCTTTGCAGCGACCCCGACAAGTTCGCGAGACGAACGCTGATGAATGCCCTGGAAAGTTCAGGCTTGGTTACTTATACGAGGAGGGTATGGAACTTTCTAGGGTTTTTGGGATTACTAGGGGCTGCTGAAGGTTTGGATCTTGGAGATGTGGGGTTTCAGCACGCAAAACACTCCGGGCCACCGCTCCACAATAATGTATGCACGGCACCTGTGCACAGGAGCGATGCGAAGGATCACGACTGAACTGCGTATGCAGGAACGGCGGAAAGGACAGGATCGACGATCGCTGCACAAACAACCCAAAAGCGAATCGTCGGAATGGCACGCATGTTCTCCTAGTATCTCCTAGTCATCTCCATGGCCTCGGCATCAAACGCTTTTTTGACCACTTGATCTACGCCAGCAGCAGACGTGAAAATTGCAAGTGTGCGGTAGTCACAGCCGACATGCCCTGCAAGGTACACTGACAATTCTGCCCGAAGACGTCCTGGATGGTACGAACTTGGGAATGAAAGCCGTCGAAGCACTTGGAAAGCCTCAGCTGCTCTTTACGCTCGTCGAACCAGTAGACATCCCTCGGGCCCGAGAGAAATTTCTGACGTGGCTCCAGCAGAACAATATCCAGGTGCTCAACATTAACGGACCTCGAGAATCATCGGTCCCAGGAATTTATGAGAAGAGCAAAGCACTCTTTCTGGGCATATTCGTCGGTGCAAGGACCGTCACGCCGCGACCAGCATGATGGGAACCCGCAGTGCGCAGTGCAGGGAAGCTTTGATGTGCTCAAACTCTTGACACTGCGCAGTCTTTCAAGGTCAGAAACCTTGCTTCTCACTGCAAGCATGCTGTACAGAGCTTGTGTGAAGCATGGCTCCTCGTGGAAAAGGAGCCTACGCTCGACATGCCGAATTCAGCCCCTTGGGCCCTTGGGTTTGGAGTCATCGATGCCAGGAAGCAGGAAGAACGTGAGCGCCAGAAGCGTGAGCGCGAGGCCAGAGACGAGGCGCTTTCATCAAACCCAATCCCAAGCCTCCTTTCCTGGGAGATTTTCGGGCCAGCGGGCTTGCGGGCTGCATCTCTTTACTGTTTTGCTTGGTCGCTTCGGTGGGTACCTGACAACTTTGGAGTCAAGAGTAAAGAGTAGAGACAGAGACAGCCCAGTTTTTTCGAAAGTGCCGACGGAGGGCCGCCGCCAGAACCTGTGACAGGCCGAGCGAAAGGAGCGAGAGAGGCTGCGGCGCTTGGAGGAGGCGTTTGGACGCTTGCGGGTTCGTAAGTGGTAAGACGGAAGTCTGAGTATGTCAGTATGTATGGTGTCTATGCATGTCTATGCTATCTATGTCTCTGCATTGGGGTGCCATTTGAGCTGTGGGTCTTAGGAGTTGGAGCGGGTTAGGGCGTCAAAGCGATCACAGATGCCGTTGCAGCAGGCCTCAAATGCGCAGCAGTAGAAGTAGATTCGTGGTGGTCGTCGTCGTAGTCGTTCTCAGTTTGTCCGGAGGCATTGCCCCGCCATAATGGTACTAGTCGGCGTCGTCGTCGTCCTCGAAGTCGTAGTCGTAGTCGTAGTCTTCGCTGAAGTCGTAGCCGTAGCCGTAGCCTTAGCCTTAGCCGTAGCCGTAGTAGTCGTCGTCGTCGCCGTCGTCGTTGCTGTCGTAAGCAGCAGTAGAGTAGGAGTAGGAGTAGGAGTAGGAGTAGGAGTAGGAGCAGGAGCAGGAGCAGGAGCAGGAGTAGGAGTAGGAGCAGGAGCAGGAGCAGGAGCAGGAGCAGGAGCAGCAGCAGCAGCAGCAGCAGCAGCAGCAGCAATAGCAGTCGCAGCAGCAGCAGCAGCCGCAGCAATAGCAGTCGCAGCTTCAGGGCGAAGGGCAGCGGCAGTGGCAGTGGCAGTAGTAAATAGATAGCAGCAGTAGTGCAGCAGCAGTAGCATCGCTCTTCGGGCCACAAGTTGGAGGATAGACGAAAGCATAATGGTAACCGTCATTTCTTCCCTAACAGCGAGTCTGCGGGGTCTTCAGTCGAAATAAGGTCTGGGTTCCAGGAGGGCAGGTTCAGGGGCGGTTCTGCTGGTGGGTATATCAATGGGTTTAGGGTCTATGGTAGCTTTCCGTTTAGTACCCGTGCAGTTGGCCTGCCTGCCGGCAACCCTACGTCTCTCGCGGGCTGGTGCAAAACTCTGCATTGAGGAAGAGCGCGAGCGGCGCGAACTCGAAGAGCAAATGGAAGAGGAGGCACACTCCGCGAAAGACTAGTTGGTTTCGGGTTTAGGGTAATATTGTGGTAACCACTCTTCCAGGCAGCGGTAGCTTTGCAGAGTGACGCGGTGTGCGGACACGCGCGGCGAGAGTGGTCGAACCGCCGCTTTTGCCACGCCCTGTAGAGAGAGAGAGAGAGAGTATGTGTCATATCTTTTTACCAATGACGGGGGAACCATGTCTTTTTCCGAGCTCCGACTGTTGGTGCCCCTTAAAGCCTCATTGTCGCTCATCTTTCATCTCATTTTCGT